ATCACAAGCCATGTGCAAGTGCACCTACTGCTTCTTGTTCAAAGGTCTCGGCATGCACCCATAAATAGCCAAAGAACAACAGACGTCCGGAAAGGCTGAGGCCACTCAAGGCCTTCTGCTGGCATGGTCTGCCCAACCTTCCCCACCAGCCTCTCCAGTGGAGCTGGTGCATTATGCAAACCCTGACCATCACTTAGATTGGACTTTGCTGAGAAGCAATCTTCCCCATCTTTCAGGTCCAGTTCTGCCTGTCAATATACAGATCTATTGTGAATGACCAAACTGGACCCACTGGTATCATCCAAGGCATTTTCATTCACATATTCAGCTGCTTTCCAGTGACTTCAGAGCAGGGACCTATGGGGAAGGTTGTTTTATTTGTTCCTGGTTGCTGCTCCTGGAAAACATCCAGCAGGCAGATGGAGATCATTTCTATTTCACATCCACAAGATCTGACTGAGTTGTTGGTTAAGAACCTATGAGGGTCCCAGGTCTCCAGGTAGGTTTCAGACCCTCTCATCAGTCAGGGCTGGAAGTGAGCTGGAAGTGGAGCCACCTTTATTTTTTACTGTCCTGAGAAGCAGGACAGGTTTTCATTGCAGACCACAAATAATTTACTTCACTTGAAACACAGCTTTAAAGGGTATTTCTAAACTGACAGAGTAAGGCACAGCTCCTGGTGTTTATCACACAGTTACAGATATGGGGCACTGAGGACAACATCACGCTTTTTGCTCCAGTGCCCCTGTTTCACCAATCTGACTCTAAACCTCTCAGGTTTAGAAACATCAGAGTTCTCCTATCACCACTATCCATTTCAAGCTGATTAGCTCGGACACCGTTAGCCCAAGTGCTGGTCTAGCTTGGTTGCTCTGGTAGACTTTGGACCATCTCTGTCAATATCACTCATTTCACATGGCCTCTGTGACCAATGGCCCCCTTGTAAAGCTTTTGTAACAGTCCTGCACAAAAATGAGGCCCTGACTCTGCACCCCCAAGCTGGACCAACCTCCATTTCCCCATTTTGCAACACTGCAAAGGCTTTGTTGCACATCCTATCTTGTCTTGGCCCACCACCTTCCCACAGTCAGGTTATTTTATTTCTGCTTCTGAATTCAGCTGCATTTTTGCATGGCCACAGTCTCTCTTTTTAATGTATGTTTTACATACATTGGGTGAGTGTGGCACTCTCTAATATAGAAAGTTCTCTTTTCTTCTTTCTGCATTAGCCACAGGGCTGTGTTGACAGGACTCCTGGTGACTGACCAGCTTCTCACCAGAGTCTGCTTCCTGGCCCAATGCTCTGCTGCAGCTCATGATTTAAGCACCTTGGCAAATTCCTCTGCCTCTCACGGCATCTTTGGCTTCTCATTAAACACAGAGATATCGTTTCTGGCTCAGGAAGTTTCTGCACCACAGGACACCAGGACTTCGGAGACTGGCCTGGAGGGCATTCATTACATGCATACTCTGTTTGTCTGCTCCTACTGAGGCATCTCCTGCAGGACTAAGGGGCAGCTGGACCTTTTTCCTGACCCAGCTCAGGTTTTTATGTGCTCTTGCTTCATTCTTTTCCCCTGGTCTCAATTCGGTCATCCCATAATTGAAAATCTATTAATAGTCAATGTCCAATTTACCCTGGAAGTCTTCAGTAATACCTCTGTTATTCAACTAAAATGATCCAGGTCCTTCAGCTGAACTCTCTTTGTCCCTCACTTTGTAGTATGCGGCTGACCAGCTGTCTCTAATTTGATGGTTAATTCTAGTCATATAGCCAGCCTAGATAATTTAATCCTTTATCCAGAAGGCAAGTACTGTCTGCCATAAGAGCTGAACCCATCAAGTTGCCTCCTAGGTGCCCTATTTCAGAGCCATTTCCTTATGCTGTAGTTACGGACTGAGTTGAATAACACTCCCAAAGGTATTCTCCTCAAAGACTGTGGGTTTTGCACTTATTCAGCTGGGATAGTCAGTCTGATTCCTTCCTCCTGCAGACTGAAAATGGTGGCGAGTGTTTGGTAGTAGGCGGTGTTCTGGCTAGCCCTTGTCTACAGCACAAGGCTGTTTTTTCCTGCGGTGACCTGTAAGCTTTTGATTTCCTTTTCTGAGTGTTTTTTTTTCCAGTTTCTTAACTCTTTTGTGTGGTTCATCTTGGCTTGTAAATTGGCCAAAGGTTTCTTGTGCCTCCTATTTTCTGGAAAGCATTCTTTTCCACAACAGTCATGCTGCCGATCATGTCTTTGATCCATCTTGCCATTTTAAACTGGGAATCTTCCAGGAGAATTTTGCATTCTCCCTTGACACTGAAGCTTTTTATCCTTGTCTGCAGGTGACCTCTTATAAACCTCTCTTAGAAGTTTCCAGATGTTGCTTGAACTCCTTTTACAAAGTCTCCAGCTGTCTCGGCTCACGTTTTGCATCCTTTGCTCATCTTTGACTTCCATTCCCAATTGGTTCCAGAGGAATCCCACAATTAGGACTTCTCCTCCTAGAGGCCAAGTCTCACTCTGGGCATTGTTTCCGTAATTCGAAAGTTTTCAGGCTGTTCCTGAGAGGACAGAACTAGCAAAATGGTCCAGAAATGCTCCAGGTGCCCCACAAGAAGGTGCTCCAGAAATGCTCACCCCCATCTCCCCACCCCTATATTAGTCACAGAAACCACACAAAGCCTTGCTTTGCTACCCATGGGAGGAATCAGCTAAAGAAAATGGTCTTTTCTTTCAGAGTTCAAGCTCCCTTTGAGCCAGCACTCCCCCAAAAGGTCTCCATGTGATTTATCTCAGAGTTAAGCTCCTTCTTTTATTTGGACTGTGCCTCTAGTTTTCTTGATGCTTTTCTCAAAGACCAGTCCAAGTCAAGAAGAGAGGAATTTCATGCTGAAAGTGGTTGTTTCTCCCCACTGCCTAGCAAGACAGCGTGTAGCTCCACCTTAGATGTCCAACATGGATTCCAACACTACCCGGCAATCGCCCTTCCTGAGGGAACAGGTCCATACAGTCCAGCCAATGTAACTTCGTTTTTCCCACCAGGAGCAGATTCTCCCAACAACCTCTGCAGCAGTCCACAAGCCTCTTCTCCTGACATTCCCAAATATAACCTATGGGCATGCGGTATACATTTATGTTGGTTATTTTTAGCCCCCAGTTTATTTGCACTGATATTGTGAAGATACCATCAGGTTATAACAGGGAAAAAGGCTATAGCAGACTGCAGTGCCACTCGCTTGCCTGCCAAGCAGGAGCCTCCAACACCTCATCAGAGCCTTTGCTGCTCCTAAAACCTCATTCGCACTTCACAGCGGGTCAGCGGGGTTTCTGCAGCCCCTCCGCATTTAAAAATCACGAGTTACGCTCCCGGTAAGATTACCTGTAAAGCACCATCGTTAGGAAGGAATGACGTAGATCTTTTTCTCGTTTGGCTGGCGGGGGCATGCTTTTGGACTAATTCCCTCCCACGTGCTGTGGGAGCCCTAAACTGCCCCTCTCCTTAGTGCACCCCGCGTCTGGGGGTCCCGCACCTCCAGGAGCCGGAGCCGAAGGGAGGGAGGGAGGGAGGGAGGGAGAGAGAGAAGCTTAACCAAATGAAAGGCAAGCGGCCAGGGCTGGCGCGAAGGGGGGGGATAAACGCATCGCCATGGATCTCCTCTGCTGCTGACACTTCCCACCGGGAATACCGGAGAGAAAGCCGCCTGACCGTCCTTGTGTCTGGGAATAAGGAGCAGGAAGGGGGAGATGTTGGGTAGGGGGGCTTATCTCCCCCCCGCATAGCACGTGGGACGGGTCCTCTGCACACCCCGCATATCCCCCCCCGCCACTGCACACCCCGCACGTTGCAGGGCCGCACATGCGGCGCCGGCGTGCACACAAACACAGGGCGCACGCAGGGACACATGCAGCGCCTCTTCCCGGGGCACGGGAAGAGCACCCCATTTCCCCGTGGCAGCAGCACCCCCCACCTTCCGCTGGGGGGGGTCCGCGGCGTCCTGGCGCGCTGCCCGGCACAGGGAGGGCAGTGTGAGGCTGGAGGGGCACTGCGCCCGGTAGCCCGAGCTAGAGGGGGGGTGCCCGCTGCTGCCGGTGCCGCCGTGTGCTGCTGCCTGGGGGGGGGGGGGGGGGGGGGGGGGGGGGGGCGGTGCAGCGCCGCCCGTTGCTGCCGGCGGCAGTGATGTGGCAGCAGGTCGGGTCACGTTGCCGGCCCTGTGCTCGTACCAGTGTGAGACGGGATTAGGGAGGCGGCTGTCGGTGCCGCCGCCGGCGGGGAGCGAGGACAGCGCGGAGGGGGAGAGCGGCGGGACGGGGGGTTCCCGCTCCGCCCCGTCCCGGGACTGCCGCGGGCGGTCACGCTGCACCGGTGCAAATCGGCTCCCAATGTCACCCCCTGCGCCCCGCGGGGATGCGGGCTGCCTGTGAGGAAGGCAGCGTCAGCGTACAGATAAGGTAGATATACATATATATATATATGGGCATATACACATTGATGTATATATGTATCCGTACGCATGTAAGAAGCGGTGTTGCCGCGGTCTGGCGTTGCAGTCGGACCCGTCTCCCGTCCAAAGGTCTGCCGAGTGGTATCACCGGAGGGCGAGAGCTGCGGCACCGCAAAACAACTACGCGTGTGCGCCTGTTCGTGCTCACGCACCCTCAAATGTATATACGACGTACACCAAACGTGACGCCCTACCCGCCCCCCTACTTACTCCTCCGAGGAGAGGGTCTCGATCCCCCCACCGTGGGCACGTTTTCCACGGGCGGCTTCTCCTCCCCAAGTGCAAGTAAAATGATAAAATTACAATAATAATAATAAAATTACGAAAAGTAATGAGGGCACAAGTAGTAATAACTACGGCAGCGATGATGACAGCAACAGCGGTAACACGGGGGAAAGCCGGTGTCTGGCAGGGCGGACCCTGGGCCGCCGGCGGGGACATCCCCCCCCCCTCCCCCCGCCACCGCTTCCCTTCCCCCCGCCCCGGTCCCGCCCCCCGCCCGGCGCCCGCCGCACGTGAGCCGTGTGCGGGGCTGGCTGTCGGCGCGCGTGCCCCGCGGCAGCGGGTGCAACCTCGCGTGTGCTGCGGGCGGGTGCGCGGGGAGCGGGAGCGAGGCGGGCAGGGGGAGCGGCAGCGGCGGAGGCAGAGGAGGGGAAGGGGGGGGAGGAACGGGGACGAGCCGCCGCACACTTTCGCCACTGCACGGGAGAAGGGGGGAACGGAGGCTGCATGTGCGCAGCGTCGCTCGCGGATCTCCACGGACTCATCTCAGCATCCCGCCGGCTCCATCAAAAGCAGCGACGAAACGTCAGCCGCTGCCAGACATGGATGAAGGAATCTCCCGCTTGCCGGAGAGGCAGTTACTGGAGCACAGGGATTTTATAGGGTAAGGAGCCAGGGCAGCACCTCCGGCTCCTGGGCTCTACGGCGTTTCGTCCCCTGCAGAAAGTGCTGTGAGGCGCTGGCAGCAGAGCCGTCTGCCCGCCGGTGCGCGGGGATAGCCTCCCTCTGCGTCCTCTCGGCCATCCCCTGCCCGATCCCCGGCCCTCCGTCTGTCTGCCCTCTAGTCCTGGCTCTTGCCGATGCCGGATCTTTGTGTTTCTCTCCAGGCTGGACTACCCTTCCCTGTATATGTGCAAACCCAAAAGAGGCGTGAAGAGGGATGAGAGCAAGGTAAGTTTCTGGGGTTGTTCTCACTCGAGCGCTTATTTGGGGGTCGCTACATTTCACGGCGCAGCTGCACCCCCAGGAGCATCCCCGGACGGCTCCGCTTTAACTTCCTCCCCCACGAAGTACAAGCGGGTTTCCGAGCGAGCTGGCACGGCTGGGAGAGCGGTGCCTTGGTGATAATTTGCGCGGCATGTGGTCGGCGTGACATTTGTTTTGGTTTTGGTCGGCGTTCCGAGGGACCCTGTCTAACGCCTGGCTTTTCCGGATTTTGCTAATTAGGAAACATACAAACTGCCACACAGACTGATAGAAAAGAAGCGGCGAGACAGGATTAACGAATGCATTGCCCAGCTGAAGGATTTACTGCCCGAGCATCTGAAATTGACGGTAAGGTGCAGAGGGGCGCAGATGTACGTGCAGATGCAGGCTCCGGCAGCCTGCCCGCTGCGCAGCCCGAGGGGCATCGGAGTGCGGGACGCCGTGCTGCCTCGCTCGCTCGCCTGCCCGTTTGCCTGCCTGCCTGCCCGTAACTGGCCCCTCGGGGACCAGTTTCCCTAAGTTACAGAGGCGGCCGGGCGTTCGGCAGTAGCCACAGCATGCCGGGAGTTAGCCAGCCAAGCTGCCCCCTTCCTTTGCCTTTGCAGACGCTGGGACATCTGGAGAAAGCTGTGGTGCTGGAATTGACTTTGAAACACTTGAAAGCGTTAACAGCCTTAACGGAACAGCAGCACCAGAAGATCATTGCTTTGCAGAATGGTAAGCGGGGGGCACCGGGAGCGGACGGGGGGGTGCGGGGAAGGCGACGAGCGAGGCACCCCACGGTGGAACCGCTTGCAAACGCTGTCCCCTCTCCGTGTTCCCCGCAGGGGAGCGGTCCATGAAGTCCCCCGTGCAGGCCGACCTGGACGCCTTCCACTCGGGCTTTCAGACGTGCGCCAAGGAAGTGCTGCAGTACCTCTCCCGCTTCGAGAGCTGGACCCCTCGTGAGCAGCGATGCGCCCAACTCCTTGGCCACCTGCACTCCATTTCGTCGCAGTTCCTCCCCGGCCCCCAGCTCCTTTCCCCGCCGCCAGGCCCCCTCTGCAAGGGATCCTCCTCCTCTTCCTCCACGCCCGCCCCCCCCTGCGCGCCGGGCCACAAGCCGGAGGGCCAGGCTAACTGCGTGCCCGTCATCCAGCGGACTCACGCCGCCGAGCTCAGCGGTGAGACCGACACGGACACGGACAGCGGCTACGGCGGGGAGGGCGAGGCGCGCGCCGAGCGCGGCCCTGCGGCTGCCGGGGGCGCGCTGCCCGCCCTGGCCATCAAGCAGGAGCCGTCGGGGGAGGAGGCTCCCCCTGCGCCCAAGCGGCTGAAGCTGGACCGCGGCGGCAGCCCCATGCCCACCCCGCCGGGGCTGGCGGCGCGGGGAGCCGAGGCGGCTGCGGCGGCAGCGGCGGCGGCAGCGCTGGTGAGACCCGACGCCGCACTGCTGGGCTCGCTGATGGCCCTGGGGGCGGGCGGCGGCGGGGTCCCCTTCGGACAGCCGGCAGCGGCCCCTTTCTGCTTGCCCTTCTACTTCATCTCCCCCTCTGCCGCCGCAGCCTACATGCAGCCCTTCCTGGATAAAGGCAGCCTGGAGAAGTATCTCTACCCCGCAGCCCCCATCCCGCTCCTCTACCCGGGCATCCCGGCCCAGGCCGCGGCCGCCGCGGCTGCTGCCGCCGCCTCCTCCTTCCCCTGCCTCTCCTCCGTGCTCGGCCCCTCCGAGAAAGTGGCCGCCGCCGCCGGGCTGCCCCCGGCTCCCCACCTCCCGCACCCCTTCGCTGCCGCCGCCGCCGCCGGGATGGCCGCCGCCGAGCCCGGCGAGGACGCCGATACCGCCACTGCTGAGGAGCCCGGTGCCGAGGGCCCCTGAGACGCCGCCGGCCGGGAGCTCCCAGGCGCCGGCTCCTCGCCGCCGCTGCCCTCCTCTCGGACTGGCCGTCCCGCCGCGGGGCGGGGAGGGTCCGTCGGGCCGGCACCTGCGCCCCCGGTTTCCTATGGAGGGCAGGGCGGCATCTGTAAGGGGTAGCCGGGGACCGGCCGAGCCGAGCCGGGAGCTGGCGGTTGCGGGATGGCGGCGTCCGGCCCGGGGAGCGACCGCCTCGAGGGGAGCCTCGGTGTCCGCAGAGCACCGTCAAGGAGAAAATTTGCTACTCAGTATTTTTTTAATGTTTGGCTTTATACATGCATAAATAAGGAAAAACAAGAAAAAAGAAAAAGGAAGAAGAAATAGTAAGGATAGTTTTTTTTTTCTCTCTCTCTTTCTAAGGTAACTTAAATGTTGCACCTTATTTGCAATGGGTTCATAAGAACTTGCACTTGCGGCCAGGGAGCCCCGGGTGGGCTCGGGGTGCGGGCGGGGCAAAGCGAGGCGATGGAAAGAAGGAAGGAGGGCAGGCCCCCGCACCCGCGCTAGCACTTTACTGAGAGCAGGAGCGCAGAGAGACGGCAGCACCCCGAGCCCGAACCTGCAGTGCCTTGAGCACCCGGGGCTGCCGCTGGCTCCGGCGAGTTTTGGGTGTGCAAGGGAAGGAGGGGCAGACCCATTATGTAACCTTGTGTTTATTTTATAATTATTATTTCTTTTCGGCTAAGGTATACAGGTGTGGCAAGTGCATTTGTACTCACCCTCTCTTTATTTAATTCAGTATGTCCCCGAGAGATTTCCCCCCGAACCTTGCTGTATGAAATGAATGTTTCTGCACTGAGCTACAAAAAATATCCCCCCTCCTCTTTCTCCCCTTCAAGAAAACACAGAGCAACTCGTCAGCCTGAACTACTCCTCACTCACTTTATCCTAAATCCGAGGGACACAAAGCGGAGGCCGTAGGTAACACACCTCACTGTGCAATCAGAAACGATTAGACCAGTTGGGTAAGTTTCCCAAGTGGGTTCTCCCCTTCATCCTGAGCTCAAATGCCGCCGTTTCCCTTCCCGGAGACAAACCAGACTGCCAGATAATCACACGGATAAAGCTTTTAGAATAAGGCTTAAACCAAGACCTTGCCTAGATATTTTTAGTTTGTTGCCAAGGTAGCACTGTGAGAAATCTCACTTGAATGTTACGTAAGAGGTGAGACATGACAGCCTGGCGAGGCGTGAGCACGCGTCCATCCGTCCGTCCGTGCGGGCTCTGTCCGTCTGTTTGGTGCATCCACTGCTGCTGTTGCTACTGTTTTGCCTCAAACGCTGTGTTTAAACAACGTAGTAAAAAAAAAAAAAAAAAAAAAAAAAAGGAAAAAAATACCCTCTTACTGGCCTACAGAGTGGCTGTGTGTAAATAAGTTGTTAATACATTCAATTAATGATGTCTGACATGCTATTTTTGTAGGGAGAAAATATGTGTTAATGATATTTTGAGTTAAAAACTTTTCTGGGGAGGGTTTGCTGAAAAAGTTGCACTTTTGTTACAATGCTTATGCTTGATACAAGCTTATGCTGTCTTAAATTATTAAAAAAAAAATAAATCCTGTCTGCAAGAAACCAGCTGGTTTAGAACAGTTTAGTATGTGATATATTAGAAATCAATCTTTATATTCAGTATTTTCCAGCACTCCATGAATTCTATTATCTAAATATTTCCACACTATTTTGTGATTAAAAAAAAAATTCTTACTAAGGAATAAAAACTTTAATACACAAAATGGGGTTGTCTTCTAATTAAAAATCTAATGATAAGACATGATAAGGGGTGCACTGAGCTTCAAAACGTATGATTGTGTGGCCGATGAAAATTGTTTTAATGACTTTTCACATTTTTAATCTATGTTTGGATTTCTTTGCTTTCCTTTAACTCCTTGTGGCAAACTGTGTTTGCAGGTATGTGCGTTTCACAAAGCATAAAGCGTGCCTGTGGAACATGCATGTTTCTTCCTGACATCTACTTTTCTCTTCTTCTTTTTGCAAAATAATAATCTTTGCAATGAATACTTCACAGCCCTGGTGCTGCACAGGAGCTGTCTTTGTTCACCATGAGCAAACTTCACGATTTGCCTGACAATCTAATGACGTATCATCAGCTCTGGAGGAATGATATATGTCCCAGCTTGGAAACCCTCAACGAAAACTGAACATTTGGAGGGGGAGGAGGGGAGTAAGCAGAAGGGGGAAGAGAGTGGTGGAAACAGGCAAGTAATTCATCGCATGGAAGTGCAGCACCCGAAAGACTTCCGCGGATTTAATACCTAAGCCGCATCACCTCTCCTTTCAAAAATTCTTCCTGCTCCAGAGAAATAAAATTAAGGAAACCTTCAAACAGTAGCCAATGTTTATGTAAGAGCGCAACACAAAGGAAGCGTTTCATGCTCCCTCTGCCGGTTCTTCAATACCAATGATTACGCGCACAAGGCATGAAGTTGGAGCGCAAAAGTAACAGAAAACTTAAGACTCATGCTGATTCCAGCAGTCCTTTAAAATAGAGGAGGGATTCTAAATCGGGTGAAAAATAAGCGCTCCTTTAAAACTGTTCAAGTGAGATTACTAAGAAATAGGTATACGTCTTTTCATAAGGAAGCTTTAGTAAAATTAACTCCTGTTAGACAGAGATACAGGCAGACTGTCTGTACAAGTACGAGAGGACATATAGCAGTGCTTTTTCCAGAAAATGATGCTGATGGACCAAACGCCACTACATTCCATCAGGATACCCACTGAAGCCAACTTTTCATGGGTTGAAGTCAAAGCTTACTAAAGGTAATGAAAAAAAACTGTGTCTGACTGCAGTTGTCTTTGAATCCCACCCTGCACCTCACGCTATTTCAGGAAAGAAAGTGAACTGGCTTCAGCCCTTCAGCTCCGTATCTTGCCAATCACTTCACTTTGACCTGCATACTTAAACAGCTCAACACGTGTTACGTGGCCAGAGTTACACAGGGATGAACATGCTCATACACTCCAACTCCTCATGCTAAGGGAGGGGATTTGCCTTACTGTGCATGAAGGAAGCCCTTCCTACCAGTTTACTATGCACCCAGAAAGGGTGGAGCCATGAGCACTTTTCGAAAGAATCATACCCATCATGAACACTTGGGTTGTTTGAAACCTGGGCATGGGCCAGTCTTTATGCCTTTTTCAAATTTCCATCCTTCTAAACCTAGATCCTCACAGGGTTTTATCAATTTCAGTTCTTTTCCAAGTACAATAACAGGAAAGCTTATTTTTATCAGTCCTTGAATCAAACGTACCCAATGACTTCACGCCAAGTTGCCCCATCAGTGGAGTCTATTAAGTTTTATCACATAAACCATAAAGACAAAATATGTGTGCTCAGACAATCCTAATGCCTAACAAAAGCAAACACGTGAAAGAAAGGTTTGTAGTTGAGGCTGATAACCCACTGCTGCTGCAGGCAAAAGGCGACTGACAGGAGGGACCCTAGTGTCAGCTTTAATTATTAAATCCCAGGATTCCTCAAATCCCTTTGGCACCTAAGTCAAATTATATATGAACTACATTTCATATTTTCCCAAGGTTAAAAAAACCCAATCATACAAACACTGGACAAGAACCTGATAGGTTTAAATATACATTTACCTATGTACAAATACGTATTATCAGCTTGTTATTTCTTACCTGCTTTCTATAACTGTATGATATATGGGCCTTCGTCTGCACTTCCCAAGTACTAAGTACGCAGGACTGGGTGCTACATTTATTGTATACACTTGAGTATGCTTATTTTCTCATAACCACAAGACAAAGGATGTAAGCTGGTAAAATGTATTTTCTTAAGCAATAAACTTTGAAAACAGGTCTTATTTACCCAGTATATTATAGTGACATGAAAGGCTCCATTACAGTGCATTAAATAAACACAGTTGAGGTTGTTAAGCCAATGGAAGGTAATATCATGTATTATTATTCCATGCATTAGGTCATGGAAGTTTTGTTTGGAAGGTTCACTCAAACTGATCATCAGTCCTATTAAGAAAAGCCTGACCTACCAATTAAGTCAGTGGAGTCCTTTTCTTGAGTAATGGGCTTTGGAGTAGGCCCTAAGTCTACGTTTTGGGGCTTGTTTAATTTTCACCTTTAGTCAGGGAAGACTGAATGTCTTTGACATTCAGCAACCCTGGAGATTGTGAACAATGTGCATTTCAGCACTGGCAAATTTATAGTCGGTCCCGTACCCTGGGTCTCACAAGGTATTTCCATTTCCTCTCAAATATCAGCTCCTGGAATCATGTGATCACCATTGCCTTTGACAAGTTTCCTGCCTGCTAGTTGCAGAAATGAACACGAAAGTATGACCTCAAGGAAAGCATCCTGGTCTACTGGAAGGTGTGCCTGCCCATGGCAGGGGGCTGGAACTAGATAACATGTAACGTCCCTTCCAACCCAACCCATTCTGTGATTCTATGGAGTAACAAAAATGCCAGACTTCCTCTCCACAAAAGAAAAAAAAAAAAACAAAACAAGGAAACTAACCACAGCTGGATTTTTTACTGCTGGTTGCACTCAGGAAAGTCTGAATCCCTATTAAGTGATTATCTCTGGTTATACTGCAGCCTCAGAGTAGCTCACTGCAAAGTAGTAGAGAGAAGCCAGTGGCTCACCTGCCACTAGCAGTGGCTGCGCAGGACGTGAGCAAAGCTGAGTTGCCATTGTCACTTTTCCCTCTGCATCCTTCCCATGGCTACAGCATTTCAGTCTCTGGGTTGCCATCTGTCACAAACACTAAACTCACTACAGCCTCAGTGACAGCAGTGACGCTGGCTGCCAAAAGCTGCCCTGCCCTGGGCCAAGCAGCAGAAGTTGTTTTGCCTTACTGAACTCAGGAGCACCCAGTGGCAACACACCTGCCACTGCCACCTCTGCCCTTTCCTGGGGCGCAGGAATGCCTCTCCCTGCCTGGCATTCCCGATACATCCCAGGGTGGCTGGTGGGAAGATGTGACCTCATGGTTTGGAAAGTAGGGACTGTGATTCCAGGCAGCTCTACTGGGCCATGGGGGTTTGGGAAAAGCTCTTTCTCCGCCTTGTGCAAAGGCCTGTTGGTTGAGCTTGTTTTTCTGTGGCCAAGCCAGTCTCAAAACTGAGCATTTTCTGAAGAACCACCTAAGAAAAAGAATTATGTAAATATGGCACCTTCTTACTCAGCAGAAAACTGGCTCCCCAAGTGTCTTTGGAGTAGTACCTGCACTACAGAGCCAACTGAGCTGACAAATACTGCAGCAGATTCTGTTTTCACAGTACTTTGCCAACAAATCCAGCTTTGCAGTTGCTGCCAGGCAGGCACACAGTTTTGCTCACATGCAACGTTATGTGCAAAGAAGCACATCTATGTAGAAGCAGTAGTCCATCTGCATGGTCCTAGTCCATCAAGGGCTTTGGACTTGGTTAGAACCCACTGAACTGACTTCAGGCTTGGATCCTCTGAGTAGTGACCCTGATCACTATTTCTGTAGTTTAAAGATCACAGCTTCCAGTGAATGTTGTAAGACCTTTACCTAGGTTCCAACTGCAGGATCTACTTTTCTCCCTTGGTGGAATATGAGTATTGCCATCAAAACCAAATGGGAACAATCACACCACTGAGGGCAGACTTTGTATCAATAATGCAGCCTGAGGTGCAGAAAAAAAGGCTTTGCCTGGCAGCCAGATCTTCAAATGCATTTGCAGGACTAACAGAAACAGGAAAAACAAAATGTCTTGGGTTTTTCAGGGGTTGGTTTTGAGTTTTTTTTTTTTAAATGCAGGTTGAACTTTCATTCTGCAAGTGACTGAGAGGCCGAATAGAACGTGCCTTCTAAAGATGACGTACTTTTTATGCTATGCTCGAAAAGAAAAAGACGGCCTGACAGAGCTAATCTGCATTTGTGCAGATGGTAGAAGTGAAACTGCAGCTGCCTGCGCACCTACCTCTGGTTTTAAAAGCCAGTGCTCGTACAGATGCTTTAGTGCTGGACAGCAATTCTGGGAGACACAGGGGCGGACCCTGAGGAGGTAAAGAGGTCGCTTGGGCTATTTTGTCTGCGCTCCCTGTAGAGCTTCACGCAGGCACCCAGAAGGCCGGTGACAGTGGTTTTGCCGCGGAAGGGCAGCGCCAGCCCTGCCGGGAGTGGGCCCGGCACGGAGAAGCCCCCCGGGGTGGCACGGAGCGGAGCGGGGCGGTACGAGAGCCCGCCTCTGCCCGCCTCACCGCACACCAAACCGCGCGCCCGCCCGCGAGACGCCCGGAGGCAGCCAACGGTCGTCACGCGCGCGCCCACGTGACGCGGCGCACGCTGCCCGGCACGTGCGCGCAGGCCGCGCAGGCTCGGGGAGGAGAGCGCGCTGAGGGGAGGGGCCGGCGGAGCTGCGGCGGTCGCCTGGCAACGGCTCAGGCCCGGGGGCCCGCCCCCGCCGGCAGGGGCAGCCGTTGGGCCGCGGCTCCCAGCCGGGCGCTGGCTTCCCCCGGCCTCAGCCAGCCGCAGGGTGCGGGAAGGTGGATGCCGGTACGCACGGCCGGGAAAGCGCCGCTGGTCCAAACGTCCACTGGTTGAGGGCTTACCCGAAGCCGGTGCAGCTTCACTCGGAACCCCCGTCCCGCAGGCAAAGCTGTTACGAGGACCGGGGTTTTGGCAGCCCGGTGTGGCCTTTGCGGTGTTTTGAAGAAACTGAATTGCCTTTATCCCTTCAAGCACCCCTCTGAGCACAGCAGCTGAGGTAAAGTGGCACCCGTGGCCACTGTGTAGAGCTAATAATGCTAGCAATATCACTGCTGATTAGGGGAGATAAGTTTTAGCACTGCCCAAGGGTTTAAAACAAGTTGGATTTGGAGTCCTGGCACTCAAGAGACTTACCCAATGCATTTTGAGCAAACAGAATGTGATATTTTGCAGGTATGGACCAATTCTGCTTTCTTGTAAGGAAAATAACAAAGACCAGGAGGTTTGTAGCCCTTGAGGGCATAATAATAAATCATGGCTGGGGAACTCCTTAATAGAGGCTGTTTTTTCACTTCGGTTCTTCTCAAATAGTAATGTTACTGCAAAGTTCTATGGATGTAAGTAAAACATGGTCTGTAGGGGAAGGCAAGACCTTTCATTAGCGCAGCAGATGCCACTAGAAAACCAGCCTAGTTTTCAAACACCCAACCTTTTTGTAGCTTCACAAAAGGACTTTAGAACCAAGAGTGCTTAACCTCCCCCAGCAGAATCTGCTACACATTTTATATACCTGAACTTTTCCTTTATTTAGGAGCTGCAAGTCCTCCCTTACCCTGCCTGTCAGGTATCCTGTCCTCCCATACCTCAGAAAGCCCAAGGCTGGAGGACCTTGAATGGCATCCCATGAACCCTCCCACCTGGGCCAGGGAAAGCCATCAATACCAGCCTCAGCAGCTTTTGCCAGTTTGCTTCCTACCACAGCCGAGGGGCCTAGAGCACACATCAGTCCTAGCCAAGAATAACCCTGCTGCTGCTCACATGATACACTGCGGGCACAAGAGCTGTTGGGTTCTGCATGAGAGTCACAGCCACCCTGCAGACAGCTGCCCAGGAGATGAATTCACCACACTCAGTGGGACCAGAAGAGCCATACAAACTAGTTAACTGGACACATATGTACCCCCTGCTTGATCTGGGCTTCACATTATTATCCCTGCCTTCTACTTGGATCTCGGCCCTAAAGCTTTCCACAGAGGTAGCTGCACAAATCAGTGTTTTTCAACAGCTGAACTAGATTTGCTACCTTTTATATCAAAACTGTTGATGGCAGCAGTGCTTACCAGGTGGCAGGGGAGGCTGTGGCTGGGAACTCCTGCTGGACGGCACAGGATGATCAGAAGATAATGCAGCCATCTGAGAGAAAAAACTTAAAGATTCCGGACCTGCTTTGCAGCATGTTTATGTTACAAACCCACTGGAATAAAAACAGATCTTCACAGGAGCTGTGGTAGGAACCTGGACTCTGATTTCTTCTTCCCCCAAGTGAAGACGCTAATCAATTAGCTAAAGCCATTTCTTAGTGATTGCTTAATCATTTTGTGCAAACTAGGCCAAGATCTACAAGAGAAACAGTACATGCATGTCTGAGAACAGGTTTTGGCCATGGCCTTCCCACAGGGAGCAGGAGATGCAGAGGTGAACCTCCTTGAGGGGAGAATATTCAATACGAATCACTGCTTGAGAGAGAAATGGTCTGGTTACCAAACCATCATTCAAACACAGGGCTGTTCCTCTTCCAGATGCAACTTTTTTATGTGAAGAGTGATGCCCTCTGTTGTTCTAGAGAGAAGCTGCTACGAGTTAGGGGACTGAAAACATTAATGTGGAGGTTGGCTTGTGTTTTCAAGTACTGCAAATTTAGAGGTGCTCCGATTTTGACATACAGGCAGTTTGCTGGGTCCGTCATGGTGAATGTGCTGCAACTGGGACTTGAGAGTCAGGAAAAACACATCTGTAGAGGGCTGTGTACCAAAATGAGTAGGAAAAAACCTGCTTAACAACACACCACTTAAAAAAATGTAGGAAAAGTGTGTAGAATAGGCAAGAATTGCTTATTACTGGTGCTGCCAAGGTAACTGAGGAGTATGGGAATGTGTGTGGGCAAGGGTCGGAGTTAAGGCTGCCTATGCATCCCTCAACATCTGACAGCGGAGAGAGAAGGAAATACCATGGCCTAACAATCTGCCATCATCAGATAATCCTGATGGGCACTCCTAGTTCACCTGTAAAAATAAATGTGTTAGTGTGAATCTGAGCTGCAAGTGTTTCCTCTCCTTGGCACAACAGAAAGAAGCTGTACGTATGTATTGCAATTTGTTCTACAGAGCGGATAAGAAAGTAAAGATGTATCCGTCTGCAAAACATGAAGTGGCTTTGCAAAATGCCTAACAACTGGTCACAGGGGCAACTCTGGTGTTGTGAATTACAATGTAAGTACGGTTATTTAAAATGACCTTTGAGAGTAATCTGTGTGCAGGAGCCATCTGTGTGCAGGAGCCATCTGTGGGAAGTGTGCTCCCATCAGCGTCCTGCCAGGCCTGGAGCTACTTTCAAGAGTCTGGCTGTTGTGATTGCTGAACATAATGAGTCTGCAATAACTGTTTTCAAAAGTACACAGTAATGTCATGGGGTTGGCTCAAGTTTAGTAACCCCAGGACAATGCATTCAAAAGGGATAGAGGGCAATTCAGCTCCTGTTGGTCAGTGAGAAGGTGCTGCACATCCCTTCCTTTTGTTTTACTCAGAGATCATCTATACCTTCCTCAGGAGCAAAGCTGCTTGGCTTGGGACAGCACTCTGGTAGTTTAGGGCTACAGTGGCATTTTCCCTAGTGGGTACAGTAAAGTAATTTGTATTTGTACAAACCTGTAAAGAGAGCATCTCCCCTTCCCCAGATGCTCCCAATGAGTCCATGTGGCAGTGCGTTCAAGATGCAAGCCTGCCCCCTTGACTGAAGGCATCTCTGCATTACAGGAGTCTCATGCTTCTAGATGGGCCAGAAGGAGCAGAAAGGCAGCTCAGAACCACTGCCTCACAATTGCCTGCTGCAAAACTGAGGACAGGAATACTTTTTTCCTTCTGACCTATCTCTGTTATCAATATCACAAAGTAGGTGGCACTGAAATTCAGCCATGCAGCAGTGAACTGTAGCAGGGACACTGCTATGAAATGCCAACTTTTCTGGATGTATGCTTTCAAACCACTGTAGTTTCTTGGACACCTTCACATCTAAATGCAAATCTAAATCTAGAGTTACCATGCAAAGCAGGTTACCTGCATATGCTGACAAGAGAAGCAATAAGCCAAGTATGGTTACCTGAAGAAGAAATCAGAACAGACTCATATTTTTAACCCCAAACACACCAAAGCCACCCTAGAATTGCATTGCTCAGATGGAGTTCCTTTTACTAATACCCCAGTTACCTTTTCACCTTCCAGCTTTAATCAGACACAGAGGCAGAGAAACACAGCCCATCTCCTGTCCCTCAGAGTGTGTATGCATTTCTGTAGTCAAAATGGGACAGAACAACGCCAGGAAGATTTCACTTATTCTTAGTTCAGGCTCTAAGAATATTTTATATCTCAAAGGTGAAAAAATGATGGAGGTAACTGGACTCGTGGTGACCTACAAGAAAACACAAACCTGACACTTTAACATCAGATATCTTGATATTCTTTTTAATTTGGCTTCCCCACTTTGCAGTCTCTGCCAAAGAACTTAAACAAGTTTAATTCTGCAAGGAGCTGAACTCCTGCACATACTGAAATCAGCGTGCTAAAATCAATGGCAGATGAAGACATTCATTTTGCAGAGTAAAGCTTTAAGTTTAAAACAGACTAATTAGATCTCAAAGGCAAAAGCTTTATTGGTCGAACCTGGCTCAAAGATTGCAAAAGGAGAGATTAAGAATCACTTCCTTTGAAGTGCTTAGATTGTTCGGTTTGGAAGGGAGATAAATCCTCTGCTATCAGGAAGTTTAACCTCTGACTGAAGGGGTTAGGGAAAGGTTTCCCTCTGAATAGGTTATTTTGGAAACTCCAGACAAAGGGTGCTGTTTACTATCGAGCTGCCTGTGCCCATCCAATCCTTGCTATGAAACCAGAGGCTGAATGCTAGGACAGATGGCCCTCTAGCCTGACTGAACTGTTGTTGGAAAACTGTATTTCTGTATGATGAGAACAGACTTTATAGTGAAAGATCCCTATACAAAAGTAAGTACATGGAGATGAAGAGCATGTACTCCTTGTGAAGACCCTGCAGCTCCCTGGGCCTTAGTTTTCCCAGGTGACAAAAACGAAAACGATATCTAATGATTTTACTGCATACAAGTATATATGTGGGTGCATGTATAAATGGGCTCAGATGGCAACATCTTAAAATGATCTTTAATCTCAGAACTGGGCACTAGGATTGAGTCTCTGTGCTAAGGCGTGCTGAAGGGTGCTCATTCTGTGCAGGTCTCCAGACTAAGCACAGCTGAGGTGTTTCTTAGTTAATTAAAATGATTTAGAGCATGTAGAAAACACTTTGGAATTAAGAAAAACCAAAAAAAGGCACCCTCCTACAATTCTAACTCTTGTGCATTTTCTTTTCAGCCCCTAATACCAAACAGCATTTGGGAGTCT